GTTACAGCTCAATATAAAGAGAACAAAAATCCTTACCCCTGGTCCAATAGGCAACATGATGACAAAATGAAAAATAATCAGAGTTGTCAAAGTTTTCATTTGCTTGGATTCACAATCAATGCCCATCGGACCAGTGGTCAAGAAACCAGAAGATGTGTTGCATTGGGAAAATCTGTCAAGGATCTGTCCAAAGTGCTACAGAGTAACAATGTTAGTTTAAAGACCAAGGTACACTTAATCCAGGACATGATATTTTCACTTGTTTCCTATGCATCTATAGTAGGACAATGAATAAGGATGACAAAACAAGAATAAATGTTTGAATTGTGGAGTTGCAGAAGAGTACTGAATATCAAGAAAACAAACAGACCTATCTTGGAGAGGTTGAAACCAAGTTTCTCCTCAGAGGCAATGATGTTGAAGCTGCTTCTCACATACTTTGGGTATATGGCCAGGAGGAACCAGTCCTCAGAAAAGGACATCATACTTGGGAGAGGGAAGGGACAGTGCAGGAGAGGAAGACTCCAGGTGAGATGGGTTGACACAGTAAGCAGGGTAATGGGTGTAGGTGTGTCAGAGTTAGTGAGACTGGCTCAGGTAAGGCAGGATTCAGAGCTGGCCTACATATGGCTGCTATTAATTACAGACAATTTGATGGCACAGAACAACAACTGAATATTCCCATAGACTGCTATAAGGACAAACAAATCTGTCTTGGTGGAAGTGAAATGAAGGTTCATTGGAGGCAAAGATGGTGAAGATTCATCTCACATACTTAGAGCATGTTTCCAGAAGGTACCAGTCCTTGGAAAAAGAAATCATGTTGGGAAATGGAGGGTAGTCTGAATGGAATACTGTCAATAAGGTAAATTGTCATGGTAATTCTTATGACAATAGGCATATCAGAGATCTGTAACAATGAGTATATCAGAGGTCCTGAGGATGACATAGGATAAGGGAAGGCTCAAATCTGTTTTTCACGGGTTACTATAAATCATAGCCAATTAAAGGCCACGTAACACCAATACCATTATTATATGTGCATAATAAAGGAACTTTTATAAGGAAATGGGCAGGTAAAACTCAGAAATACCAGCATGGAAGTTTTTTTCTGAAGTCTGCAAATTGACTCTTGGAGATTGATCTTTTTATAAACAGCTCAGTACTTGACCAACAGCTATTTCTGCTATACTCAAACCAGATTAATGCTTTACTCTAATGGAGACATATTAAACAAACTCTGTGTATGAAGAATACCCTCTCAGAAACTTGTGATGAGTCAGGAATATAAGTTTGAGGGTTTTTTGTTTTTCCATTTGTAACTTTATATTGCCATCTTCTGGACAGAAAGTGCAGTGCAGTACATGCATTTCTGTAGATGACACTCTGCAAGCAAACTCCTGTAAAATAATTCATATCTACTTAGCATATTTGTTCATTTGTCTTTTTTTGAAAAAAATCAGCATTTGTGATTTTTAGTAGCTCATAGCTAAAGTATGTTAGATATTGATTCACTAGGCTCAAAGGTATTATTCATTCAAATAAAATAGTTCTTTTCCTGTTTTTAAATTCTGCTGGCAGTTATATTTCAGAACCAATCAGCATTGCACAGACCCAGTTTTTATCGTACATGTCATTTAAGTTTAAATTCAGAGAATAACATGCTATTCTATTAGTTATTCTATGAGTTCATTAAAATTATTTGCATTAGATCTTTGCATGTGCAATTAATCGTACATTTTGGACATTTAATAATTTTTGCTAAAATATTATTATTATTATTATTCCTTACTTAAAATAATTTACAAACATTCAGACTTAAAATAGTGTTATTAATATTTTTTCATCAGAATATGGATAGGTGAAAGATAGGCTCTTGCTAAAAGTTACTTGCCAGAATATTTACATCAATGAAATATGCATGCTATACTTATTAAGACATGTAAGAGGGACCAGTGTTTAGTTTCGCACATCCAAGTGTTGTTTTATGTCTTAAGAGTTTTTTTTTTTAAATTTTGGTTTGTTTTTTTTTTTGTTTATTTTGATTACTTCAGGAACGGCTGTAAAGCTTACTTTACTATGGCTGATGAAATAAAAATCCATGTTCAAATATTCTTTTCTCTTGGTGGGGTAGAAAATGAAGTCATTTTATTGAAACAAGCCATCTCATTTTACTGGATCCAGCTGTGCATCTGTGATGTCTGATTTTACTATTCCTTCTGTTATACACCTAGTTTCTATGAGTCAGAACTGACCCAGTGGCATCCAGCAATATCAATACTTACTTTCCACATTAAAAATTTGAAAGAGTTAAGAAAATGCCCTTTTTTTTTTCTCCTTCTTTGGTGACTGCAAATGTTATTAGCATTTGGAATTACAAATGCATGTATATAATTTTTAGTTACCTCTTAAAAAATCGTACACATAGTCTTGCTTTGAGCAGATTCCCTAAATAAATTGGTGCACGAGTTGTACTGGTAGGATGGCTTTCTTGTGCTCTGTGATTACAAGATAGCACAAGTGTTGTGTTGTTCCATGCTGCCATGTTGAGTACAACTTGTAGTGACCCTGTTAACAATAGATCTGAACCCTGCCCTGTCCTGCGCCAGCCTCATCATCGCTGACACACTTGACCTTATTGCTGCAGTCACTGTGTGAATCCATCTCATAGACAGTCTTCCCTTCCTCCATTGATTCTCCAAGGAATAGCCTCTCCTAGAAACATGCCCAAAGTATGTTAGATGGAGCTCTCCCAAGCTTGCTTCTAAAGAGCATTCTGACCTCACTATTTCCAAGTCATGTCTGTCTGTTCTTTGGCAGCCTGTGGGATATCCAGCATTCTTCTCCAACACTACAATTCAAGGGCTTCTATTCTTTTCCTGACATCCTTATTCATTGTCTAGCTCTCAGATGCATAGCAAGTGATTGAAAAGACTGTGACCTGGATCAAGCACAGTGTGGTCCTATTGTACTGTTGTTTTTATTAGATGTCATCAATTTCATTCTTACTCAGAGTGACTCCATGTTTAACAGTACAGAACTTTGCACAGAGCCTAACTTTTAACAGGCCCTAACTTTGTACCATCTTTATGATTATTGTTGTATTCTAGCCAGTTGTTACACCATCAAGCTGTCTCATTGATGGTCCTTCTTTTTGTTGATCCTCTGCTGTATCAAGAATGAGGCCCTTCTTCAGAGAATAATTCTTCTTGATAATATGTTAAAAGTACATGACACAGGTCTCTCCATCTTTAATTCTGGGGAACATTGTTGTAGTTCTTCCAAGGACAGATTTATTTGCTCTTCTGATATTCTTCTGATATTCAATGTTCTTTGCTAACACCACAATTGAGTGGGATTAGTTCTTCAGTAGTCTTCATTGTTCAGTGTCCAGATTTTACATTCACAAGAGACATTGAAAATGCCATGGCTCGGTCTAGGCTTTCCTTAGCCATCCAAAGTGAAAGCTTTGATTTTTTTTTTTAAATACAAGGCTTCTTTATCCCTTGGAGTATACCATTTGTATTTTTCACTACTGTTTTCATGGATATTGTATGGGTTTAAGAAAATTAAATTCTCAAGAGCCTCAGTCTTTTCTCTCTTTTTCATATTGCCCATTGGTCAATTTGTCAAGGGTTTCTTTTTTCCCCCTTTAAGGGTGACATACAAACCATATTGAAGGGTATATTCTTTGATTTTCATTAATTACTCCTTACTCACTTTCAGCTGGTAAGGTATAGCACTGGGGGTTTTTTATAAGTATTTCTCCAATCTTGTTACTGCATTCCTCATGCAGTCCAGTTTCTCAGTTTACTTATCATATGTTGTTGTTGTTGTTGTTATGTGCCGTCGGTCGAGTCACTTGTGACTCATAGCGACCCTATGTACAACAGCCTTAAACTCTGCTCTGTCCTGTGTCAATCGCACTGTCTCTGATACTCCCATCCTGATTATCGCAGTCACTGAATCAATCTACCTCATAGAGGGCCTTCCCCTCCTGCGCTGTCCCTCCACCCTGCCAAGCATGATGTCCCTCTCCAAGGACAGGTCTCTCCTCACAACATGTCCAAAGTATGTTAGATGGAGCGTCGGAATACTTGCCTCCAAGGAGGAGCCCAGTTTAGCCCTCTCCAGGATGAATCTGTTTGTTTTCCTAGCAGTCCATGGTACCCTCAATACTCTTCTCCAGCACTACAGCTCAAAGGCATCAATTCTCCCTCTATCCTCCTTGGTAATTGTCCAACTCTCTGATGCATAACAAGTGATTGTGAAGACCATGACCTGTATCAGATGCACCTTAGTCTCCAGAGTGACACCATTGCTCTTCAGTTCTTTGGAGAGGTCCCTAACAGCAGACTTTCCCATGGCAATGCGCTTTTAATTTCCTGGCTACAGGTGCCAAGAGTGTTGACTGTGGAGCCAAGAAAACCAAAGCTGTGAACAATCTCAATCTCTTCACCATCCATCCTGATGCTGCCAATTGGTCCAGTGGTGAGAATCTTTGTCTTCTTGACATTGAGCCTCAATCGGTATTGGAGGCTGTAGTCCTTGACCCTCTGTAGCAGGCACTTCAGGTCCTCTTCAGTTTCAGCAAGCAGGGTTGTGTCATCTGCATAGCGCAGATCGAGTTAATCTCTCCTCTCTTTCTCTTTGTTTCTCTCTCATTGTCTTTGCATTGGAAATGACTCATATCTGAACTCCATTGGCTTTTCAGGCTGTAAACTACAAAGGAGGAGACCACCCATCTTTCTTCTGAGCAGTTACTTGTGGATTTGAATTGCTGGAAAGGCACAGTCTTTGAGTTAACTCTGCCCGTCCTTTATTACCAGAGCTCCCTAGAGATTAGTTAGATAATGGTGTAAAGATACAACCCTGATGCATATTTTTCCTGATTTTAAACCATGCAGTCTTAGTTGAGGTTTTACTGTACATGCTGTCATATCTGATCTCAGATTATTTTCTAAGTAGTCTGCTGTATTTTTGTCTTGATATCCTCTTAGGAGGTGGAAACCATCCCCTTCTGGTGCCCTATGATACACTGACAGCAAAAGAAAAAGCCAAGGACAGGGAAAAAGCCCAGGATATTCTCAAGTTCTTACAGATCAATGGATATGCTGTCTCCAGGTAATGAAAAACACAGCTAGTCTGGGTACAAATAATATTTACAAGACTGAATACATAAATAGCTCCATCAGATTTTATTTCTGAAATGAACCCCTTTAAGCCAGCTTAAAGCAGCTATTTTGTGTGATCAGTATACACATCTGGCAGAAACTCTAATGCCCTTCATTGTTAGTCGTATGAGTAAGTTACCTTTGCTGCTTAAAGTAAATCCTTGTCCATCATTTAGATTCGATAGGCAAAAGTCACCCTCTATTTTTAGAAAAGCCACATTTTCCTGCATAGTAATTGAGTTATTAACTTCAGTTTTAATATCAGATATAACTTGCTCCTTATAAGCTAAAGTCTCATTTTTTACTTTAATTAGAAGAATGTTAGATAAATTTCCCCAAAATTTATATAGATGCATGTGGAGCTCTGGTGGCTTGGTGGTACAGGGACAGGTGTTTTGAGTCTACCAGCTCCTCTGAGGAAGAAAGATGGGCATTCTCCTGTGTGATTTAGAGCGTCTGACTAGAGGGTCGTCTATGAGTTAGTTCTGACTCAAGGGCCATGAATATGGGTTTTAATTATATAGTCATATATTTACAATATTATCTCCTGTTAGACTTTATAAGAAAGTTTGGTGGCACCATAGTTAAGTGCTCCACTACTCACTAGAAGGAGGGTGCCTCAAAACCACTGCCTGCTACACAGGTGAAATATACGACAATCTACTTTAATAAACATTGCAGCCTTGGGATCTCCGTAGGGGAGTTCTCCTCTGTCCTGTCAGGTCACTATAAATCAATGTCAACTTTATAGTAGACAACAACAATAGCTTTTTATTAATTGTTTTCCATGTGTCATTTTTGGTGTTCTAGAGGATTCAAAGACTTGGAACTGGACACACCCTCAATTGAGAAACGCTTTGCCTATAGTTTCCTCCAACAGCTCATTCGCTATGTGGATGAAGCCCATCAATACATCCTGGAGTTTGGTAAGTACCATTGCTCTTAGTATTAACAGCTAAGTTTCTGTTACACCCCATATTTAGAATATTAAGGTATAGAAGAGCTATTTGTGGTCTCTTCTACGACTGCTGCTTCCGTGGACATTGATTATGGACTCAAGTAAAATAGAATCTTGACAATTTCAGTTCTCCATATGTCATGAAGCTTCAGTTCTCCATCTGTCATGAAGATTCAGTTGTAAGGATTTTTTTGTTGAGGTGTAATCCATATTGAAAAGGCTGTAGTCTTGGATATTTATTCATCAATAAGTTCTTCAAGCCATCTTAATTTTTAGCAAGCAAGATGGCATTATTTGCCTACTGAAGTTTGTTAATAAGTCTGTATCCAATCCTGATGTCTTGTTCTTTTTGTATAGTCCAAACTGGCAGAATATTCGCACACATAGAGTGAATAAGCAAAGCAAAAGGCTGTATCACCACCACTCCCCCAAAAGATAATATACTCCTGACCACATGGTTCCCAATTTTAAATCATTCAGTATCTCTTGCTTTGCTTTATTAACTGCTTCTTGGTCTTTATACTCATTATGATGAGCAAAATGGTTTTGGAATTCCTTTTCTTTGAAATTGCATTTATAATTTGCTGTGATGCACACAGTTGAATTTTTTGTGTTATCAGTAAAGCATAGGAAAAGCACATCCTTGTATTCTCTGCTTTCAGCTAAAATCCATGTAACATCAACATTTATATCCCTTATTTCACATTCTTTTTTTAATTCCATCTTGAATTTCTAGAAGTTTCCTGTTAATGTACTCCTCTAACCATTTCTAACCTAACTTCAGCAAGATTTTACTTATGTTAGTGGTATTAACGTTGCTCTATTATTTCTGCATACTGTTGAATCACCTTTCTTCAGAATCACCTCTCTTTGGAATGGACACAAGCATGCATCTTTTCTAACCAATTGACCTGGTAGATGTATTCCAAATTTCTTGGCATAGATGAGTGCATGAATGCCTTCAATGTTTCAGTCTGTTGCAGGAACACTTCAACTGGTATTCATTAATTCCTGGAGCCTTATTTTTGTCCATACCTTTATTATATCTTGAACTTCCCCCTTCAATCTTTTTGTTCTTGATCATATTCTACTTTTTGAAATGTTTGAGTGCCAACCAATTCTTTTTGATACAGTGCTGGTGGGTTCTTTCTGTTTTCTTTGATGCTTTCTGTGTATAGTTCAATACTCTAAGCATGTGAAGCTTAAATGTTTTGTTAGGTTCTTTCAGCTTGTCCTTGCACATTTAATTGTAATGTTTTATTTTGTCTTTGTGAGATGCACTTTGAAATATTTTTTTTGCTTTCCTCCTCATTTCTTCCTTTTCTTTAGTTTCTCTGTGTTTTAGAAGTTTGAGTCAGACAGTGCTTTATTCTTTTCCTTTTTCTTTTTGCTGTCTTAATATGTCTTTTTTTATGCATATGAATATCATCAGTGATAGCACTATACTTTAGGATTAACCTGGGAACACTTTTATTGACTGTCATTGACACACTACTCATCATTGGTTAGTCATTCACAGCATTGTACTCTATAGGATTGTTCAATTAAAAATGGCCAAGGCCAGTCAATTTCAGCTCACTGATGCACAGAATATAAATTTTTATAAATGTTAAAATTCATTTTGGCAGTTTTCAATCTTCTAAGATTTCTACTTTGTAAATCCTACAGTCTGATAATTGATGGTGGCTTGTAACTATTTCTTCTCACTTTAAGTTGTGCTACACCAGCAGTGGAGGCCCACCAGAAAATCTCCTGAAAGCTTTACTCCAGCCGTGTTATTGAAATAGATTTCACTTTGAGGAGGCAGCTTCTGTTCAGTTGTATTTTGAGCGTTTTCCAACTTGAGGGTTCATCTTCCAGCACTACATAAGGATGTTTTCCTTGACCAGTTACTTTAAAAATAGACTAACAATTCTGCTTCTTAGCCAGGAAGCCCCTCTGAAACCTGTCCACCATGAGTGTTTAAATGTTGATGACATAGCTTAACAGAATTACGGCAACATGCAAGCCATCACAGTACAACAAACTGACAGATGAGTGATAGTGTTGACTGTGTCTCTTTATTGTTCACTTATCATAATATTAGATGGATATTACCACATTTTAAGTTTAGTATTATATGATAGTTCATGTCTGTCCATATTTTTTGACAAATAATTTTGTACAATGAAAGAAAAGTGAGTTCTATTAAACAACTTGAAATTTAGCTATCTGTAAAATTTTGCCTTCACATCATTTATATAAGACAGTTCCTTGCTAGCACAGGAAGAGATTGCCCCTCCTTCTCCAGTGGAGCATCTGGTGGGTTTCGGACCTTCACGTGCCTTTGGGTTTGCAGTGCAGCTTCTTGCCACTAGGCCACCAGAGCTCCCTATTTAAATATTTTTTGTAACAATTTCTAATTTCTCTAGATTCATATTATATACATCCTACACTGCAATTATTAATGCACTGTTAGAACTGTTCTCTCTTTTGTCACACCACATGAGAAGATAAAGGTCCTAAAATCTGTACTCCATCCATGTCATTCAGATTAGCTCTAATACAAAGAGGTAGCTACTCCCCATTTGTGCTTTGAAAGTGCCTTCTGGCCTGAGTGACTCATTTTCTACTTTATCAGACAATGTTCCATTGTTACGTATAAGTTGAATAGTTCATTGTTGTTATTGTTGTTATGTGCCTTTGAGGTGGAACTGACCCATAGCTGACCCTTCAGTGGTTTTTCAGAGGCAGCAAATCACATGGAAGAAGATTCCCCTGTCTCTCCCTTGGAGCAGCTAGTAGAATTGAGCTGTGTTGCCTTTGAGATTGCAGTGTAGCTTTTTAGCACTATGCCATTAGAGATAGTAGTAGCTATTTATTAAAGCAAAAAAGATTTCCAGCTCCTTTTTCCTAGTCATTCTTAGACTGTAACCTCTACTGAAGCCTGCCCACCAGGTATGAACCCACTGACATTTGAAACCATGCAATATGTCAGCAAACTGGTGGACAGTGTCAGATCATTACCATATTCTACTATTAGGTATATACCAAAAGAACCTAGATCTTAGGCACTCAGTCTGACATACTCAACCAATGTTCACTGCACTAATGTTCATTCATAATGGCCAGAAGATGGAAGTGTTTCAACCATCTTTCATTAGTGTCCCAACTAATGAATGTTTATTAAAATTTGGTACATACAGTCAATAGAATATTACTCAGCTATAATGAAAAGTGGAATCCTACACATGCTACAACACAGATGAACCTTGAAAACTAATATCCCACTGTGAAAAGTAGATATGCCACAAAAGCACAAATATCATGTGATCCTGTTGTTGTTGTTATGTGCTATTGAGTCACTTTTGACTCATAGCTACCCTATGTACAACAGCCCTAAACCGTGCTCTGTCTTGTGCCAATCGCACTGTCTCTGACACACCCATCCTGATTATCCTAGTCACTGAATCAACCCACCTCATAGAGGGTCTTCCCCTCCTGTGCTGTCCCTCCACCCTGCCAAGCATAACGTCCCTGGCTAAGGACCAGTCCCTCCTTACAACAACATGTCCAATGTATGTCACACGAAGACTCAGAATCCTTGCCTCCAAGGAGTAGCCTGGTTTAACCCTCTCTAGGATGAATCTGTTTTCTTAGTAGTCCATGGTATATTCAACTCTTCTCTAGCACCACAGCTCAAAGGCATCAATTATCCTTAGATCCTCCCTAGTGATTGTCCAACGGTCCAACTCTCTGACGCATAACAAATGATTGTGAAGACCATGGCCTATATCAGACACATCTTAGCCTCCAGAGTGACACCATTGCTCATCAGTACTCTGTAGAGGTCCCTAACAGCAGACTTTCTCATCGTAATACGTCTTAATTTCCTGGTGCCAAGAGTGTTGACTGTGGAGCCAAGCAAACTAAAGTTGTTAACAATCTCAATCTCTTCACCATCCATCCTAATGCTGCCAATTGGTCCAGTGGTGAGAATCTTTGTCTTCTTGATTTTGAGCCTCAATCCTTTTTAAGGATGCAGTCCTTGACCCTTTGCAGCAAGCACTTCAGGTCATTCTCAGTTTCAGCAAGCAGGGTTGTGTCATTTGCAAAATGCAGATTGTTGATAGATCTTCCACCAACCCTGATGCCACACTTCTCCTCACAGAACCCAGCCTCCCGGATAATCTCACGTGATCCTACTTACATGAAATCTCTAGAATAGGCAGTTGTCTGGAGACTAGTGTTTATCTGTGGATTGCTGAGTTAGATGGGAAGGATTAAAAAGAGGCCATTTTATTATGGTTATTACAAGAGTCCAGAATGAAGGTCGCATAGTAGAGTGTACTTGGGGTGGGGTGATTGTATACCAATGAAGGAATTTTTCTTTTACTTTTCAAAGAGAAGAGCGAACTGGGGGTAGGGGTGGGCAGGGAGAAAAGTGCAACAGTGAATGAATAGAAATCCAAAATTTCTGTAAATGCTCATTAAAATTAATAAAATTTTAAAAAAGAGGCCATTGTGATTGTTTGAGGAGCAATAAGCTTCTGGTAAGGGTAATGGGAGTATTTGGGAAAGCATGATGATGGTGGCACAGCATGGTGAACATGATTTGTGTTACTCAGTTGTCCCCCTCCAAATGTTTAACCTGGCCAGTATTTTGTATTTTTGCTCTAAGTAAAAAAAAAAAAGTCAAGGAGAGTATTCAAAACTATTGTGTTTACTCAGTTTACATTCCATTGTATTGCTCTGGTGACATTCTCTTAGTCAAGCCTGCTGAAAGTGTGGAATTTTTGCCTTATTTTACTCAAATTTTCTACTATGGGCTAATAAGTTCTGACATCCACACAGTTGTGTTCATGCTCAGAATACAAGAGTGCTTTATTCAGATGTATGAGTATTTTTTTAAAAACCTCTTTTAAATTTTATTGCCAAAGTTTGTGTTTATAGTTTTGGTTACCTTTTGGTGCTTTCTTCAGTGGATAACACACTTCATAGTGCATTTTAAATTTTGCACTGTAGGTGAGTATCTTCTAATGTTTGAGATGAAATCTGTTCTTACAATCTCTTCATACCTACAGATGGTGGCAGCAGGAGCAAAGGAGAGCATTTCCCTTATGAACAAGAAATCAAGTTCTTTGCTAAAGTACAGTATACAATCTTTGATTTTGCTTCTGTGTGTGTGTTTGTAAAATTATACTCTTTAGATCTTTGCCTCTTTGTAGACTGCACTTGTCCTTATGTATGAACTTTACTGCAAGTAAACATTTTATGGCATGAAAATAATTGCATGAATAAAGTGAAGTAGATTTTGTCCTTTTATTCCCAGCAAACTTGGGCATACTTCCACTTGCCTTACTCTCCCTGCCCTGTTTCGCACATGACAGCTCCATCAGAGCTCTGACTAAAAGTTGTCTTTTTCAGACTATATCATATTATGTAAAAGAATGTTAGCCGTTTCTTAAGTATATTTGTGTGTAAGGTTATAATGTAAATTTTTCAGTGGAGCATGTCTTTTAAGAAGAGAAAAAGCAATAGATAATTTCTAAATGGACACAGAAAAAGATCCTTTCCTATTAATTTATCCATCTTTCCTGGAAAGATCTTACTTCTGATTTCCCCTATTGTGGGATTTTCATTTGAGTCATTTTAGAGACAAGAAAGCTAAGACTGAGAGAGGCTAAAAATTGTTCATATAAAATATATCTCACATTATTGTTCATCCCATTTAATAATTACTAAGAAAGGACTCTATGCCTGGAACCATGCTTCAGGGAGTTAGAGAAGGAAATAAGCACTTTGAAGCCTTCAGATTGAATGTGTCTACTTATTCCAATTTCACTGTGTGGTGAGCCCTTAACCTGGCTTGCAGCTCTCTCGTGAGGCCTCCTCCTGGTAGGCACAGCAGTACTGGATACTGTAACAGGTACCAACGGCCTTTGGAGAAAGTTTCCTTTTTATAATAGCTTGGCATTTAACTTAGGGTCCTCATGCTTACTGCAAAGTTTCCTTTTAATATATTTAGAAAGGGAAGTTTAATTTGGGGGAACGCTGATGACCTAATGGTAAGAAGCTGTGCTACAATCCTGAAAGCACCTGGTTTGAATCCACCAACTGCTCTGCAGGAGAAAGGTGGTCAGTCTCCTCACATTCGATTAACTGCCTCTGAAAACCCGCTGGAGGGTCATCTCTGGGTTAGTTTGTACTTGATGGTGCACAACTACAACAACAAGAACAACAACAAGAATACAATAAATAAGAATAACAGGGTTTTGCTATTGTTTTGTGGAGGTTTTTTGTGAGACTTAAGAATGACTTCTATTTTGAGCAGTTTATATTTGGATTTATTCTGTTTTCAGAAATGACTGCTTTATGGTAAGAGGAGTTTCTTTTGTGTCTTTTTCTTTTTGCCCTGAGCTGAAAATTGGTAGTTATATGGTTTATTCATGCATTTCCAGTTTCCAGTGGGATATGTTCACATCCTCTAACTATGCGCCTTCAATACATTAAAAAAAATATTGCACTACCTATGTACTCATTCACTCATTGCCTTCAAGTTGAAACTGGCTTAGAGTTGACCAGCCCTTCAGTGGGTTGTCAGAGGCTATAACATGAACGGCCCACCTTTCTTCCGAGGAGCAGCTGGTGCATGTGTGCCATGTGCCCTGGAGTTGGCATCACAGCTCCTTATCCATTAGACCACCAGATGCCTCTACATAATCAGTATTCCTGATAATTTTGGGTGCAGATGCTTGAGGGAGCTTCACCATATTAACACTCAGACTCCTTAATTTACTAGATGGATTGAAAACCTGTTCTGTGTTTATACTTAAGTTTAGACAGCATGACCACCTCAAGGAAAATCAAGAAAAACTTGCATATGCCCATATTTTATTTATTTACATATAAATTATTAATATCACATAGCAGAGAAAAGCTGTAGCAGGTACACGTGGATTTGTATGGAGTTGCCAATTCCTGTCTCTCTTTTCATTCATCCATTCAGCAAATGTTTATGTAGTGTTTGATGTAGGTTCAACAAAACCCCGAGTTCTAGGAATTCATGAGTAAACAAAAAAGCTCTAAAGGGCCAGGAAGAGTGTGGAAGCAAAGCCTGGAAAGAGTCTTGCTCTTCTGGATGATGTGGATTCTTAGGGGGAAGGACCTTTCCTCCAAACTCACACATATAGAGCAGAAGATTGCAAATGCTACTATGGGACTAGAGTGCAGGGGTTTGATTCCAACCTGGTTGCACAGTGGTTAAAGCATTCAAGTGCTAATCAGAAGGTCAGATGGTCAATCCTCCCACCTGCTCCTTAAGAGAAAAATGTGGTCACCTGCTCCTGTAAGGATGGCGACCGAGGAAACCCTGTGGGGCAGCTCTGCTGTGTCCTGCTCGGTCACTGTGAGTCAGACCTGGGGACACACAATGGCAACATCCACATGAATGGAGCAACAGAGGCTTGTTTTAGCGTACACCAGGGCTGAGATCTGAAGGAATGAAGTAGCAGGCTAAAGGAGGGGAAGAATATTTCATGCAGTGAGAGATGGATGTGCACAGTATGTGCAAACTACACAGGAGGAGGTGCTGGCCAGTAGCTGTCACAGCTGAGCTGTAGAATGAGAAGCCAGTTCATAAGGGCAGCATGTGATGGAGGCCAGTGTGGAGGATGGGCAGTGTGACTTTAAGTTGTGCACATTCCTATTCCCAAAGTCAGTACACTTAAACCAGGCCAGTGATGTCTGCCACACAGAATAGTCCCCAGAACACGTGAAATCAAAGTGCAGCACACATAAATGGCTATAATTTATTTAGTCTTTGAGCCTTGTGAACACTCAATTAATAAGAAAATATAATAAGAAAACAATAAAAATTAGCTTTCCAAATCACTGAAAATTCTGTTTTCCCCCATAATCCTCCCTGGCTTTACACACATGCACAGCAGAGACTCAGTGGGGTTGGACCCAGGTCTGCTCAGGAATGTCCAAGCAGCATGGCTGTGCGAGTAGGTGCCTGCTGCATTCCTGCTTACCCGCCCCCAAGCCTAGGTGCTCAGGCCCTGACACTTCCCACTTTGTAGACCTGTTTCCCTTTGCTTTCTTGCAGGTTGTGCTTCCTTTAATTGATCAGTATTTCAAAAACCATCGCTTGTACTTCTTATCTGCAGCAAGCAGACCTCTCTGTTCTGGAGGACATGCATCAAACAAAGAGAAGGAAATGGTGACGAGGTAAATAGCTAAAAGTATAAAGAATGTCTGAAACAAGAGCATGTGGATTTGGTAAAAAGACTGTGAACACGTTGAAGTGGGTGGGCATGAGAGAAGTGTGTTCCACCGCCTCTGTGGTCCTTCCACCTTTTAAATCACCATTGTGAAGGAGACGGTTTCCACACATGAATCGATGTATGTGTTCTAGACACTAAGTTTCCTTATTTTGCAATGCTGAGTGAGAGGAATGGAAGTAACTCTACACAAAATCCCCAAGTGTAGGCTGTACACATCACTCTGGGTATTTTTCATAGCTATATCTTTAATGTTTCATTTTATTTTTCTATATCTACAAATATAGTATTTTCACTAGCTTTTATTTCTGGAAAAATGTCATTTGCACAAATTTTAACTTTTATTTAAACAAAGACCTTTCTTGGAAGAAAATGAAATAACAATAGATACTTTTAAAGATGTTCCCCCCCCCCATCCCATTCAAGCCAATATCGTAGCAATGCCTTCTCATTTCATTTCCAACAAAGTATTCTTCACTGATTCAATCATGGTTCTGTTAGTGACTTTGAATCTGCTTCTCAAAATTCTGCTGGCTCTTATATAAGGATTGATGACAAACAAATCAACTTCTACGTGGTCATGTTGCTCAGGCCCTTTAAGCTGTATATGAACAAAATTTCTACACAGTTTAGTAGATTATGTACAGCAGGACAGTGGAGGAAATAAAAGCTTTCTTTGGACAAATGATCTGTAACTGTCACATCTTAGTGTGACATTGCAATAACAATTACTCTGACAAAAAGAGATGAGAAAATATACAGAAGTTCCCCAGTGGACGTGGAGAAGAAATACCACTTCAGGTTGAATAATTCAGGGATGGCAGTAACAAGGGCATCGCAAGCTCTTCTCTTTTCTCTAACTTATTGCAACTACCAATTGGGAAATGGCCAGTCATGTGACATACAATTGCAATACAAAAAATATCCCCAAACTCCCTTGGGTAATAATTTTCCTATGACATTGACAAAACTGATTAAAATAAAGAGAGAATTCACACTAGAGAGACACTGTGAGTAGAATGTGTTACTGGAGGAAGGGACAACGAAGTTTTACTGATAAGATACTTTTTTCTTTTCTTCTATCCCTATCCATCCTTCCCACCCTCCTCCAGAGTGGACTCTGCAGCCCATCACTGCAGTTGCCCCCTCTCCCTAGTCACCCCTGTGAGATCTGGTGTGCCTACATGATTCTGGAAACACCAGACACCAGTGTCCATCACCTTTTCAAAACTGAGGGCACTGGAAAGACTTGTCCATGTTCAACTGAGCTCATGTGACAGAACTTTATAGAAGGCTAGAGTAATCCAGGTGCCATTCAGTTACCTAAACAAAGAGAAAACTACACTCAGGAAAAAATAGGGGTAAATGCAAATAAAGTGGTATAAATCTGCTTTTCCCTTGCTTGCTGAGTATTTGATTATTTCTCTTCAGTTTTCAACCTTACCCTAAGAACCACTCACTGCCACCAAGTGAGTTTCTCTTGCAATACCAGTCTGTAGCCCTCATAGAATAAAGCAGAAGAGCATTGCTATTCTGTGCTGGCTTTGACTGATGTGCTGTGGGTCCCTGGGTGGCCCCTCCAGCAGCACTGAGCCAGACATTTTTAGGATTTCAACTTCAGTTTATCTTCGCTTCATGAAAAAGCAGTTTATACATTTGATTTTTTCCTGTGGTGCCTTTAAAAAAGCAGCATTTTTTTTTTCATTTAAAGGTCTAATAAATGTGATTGAGATTGATAATAATAAAAGTATTTTCTTTTATCAAATACTTAAATGCCAAATGACAGTAGAATGTAGCCTCAGGAATGACAAAAAAACCATTAAAGTAATCAAGGAACACAGTATGGCACATGTATATACAAACGTCTCTTCAACTATTAATTAAAATCATGATGCATACACATACTTAATGACTTACAAAGTCATCATGATCAAAAAGAAAATATGTATTCAAGTAATTTAATCTTTAACGATAGAAATTTATGTGTAGGCATAGAAAAATACTGGTAGGAAAGAAATTAATTGTGACAATAATTTCCTTTGGATACACTATTGTAGAATTTTTTCTTTAATATATTTTAGAAATGAAACAGCCTTACTTATATAATCATAAAAACTAGATTTTAAAATAATCACCACCACAACCATAACCAAATTTCTTTAGCCCATTGAAATGGAGTCACTGAAACCCCTATGTGTGGGTGCATTGTGTGTATTTTATATATATAAATATAAATATATATACACACACACACACACACACACACACACACACTATTTAGGTGGAGATTACAACTTCAGTGAATCCAAGGTACTCTACTGTTGTTGTTTTTATATAAATTAAGTAAAATGGACCACACTCTAATGAATAAGTGATAAATACTCATATACATATGAGAACAATTTCCAAAACCCCCCCCAGTTTAAACTATTTCAGCAATTGTGAGTAGCAATAATTATGTGGATGGAAATGAAATTTTGCACAACTGAAAATTATGTTTCTATAGATATTCAAATATTTGCTTTACGACACTAGAATTTGTTTCTTGTTCACTGTGCAGAGATGGTTACTATGTCAGCAATGAACAACGAAATTTGTTGTCTGCATAAAAGGGCTGTTAACTGGCAATAGCGAAGAGTGTATAAAGTAGTAACATGGGCTGACAGTAGTAGTGTGGTATGTGAGTTTGCATACAGTTCCATGAGAAGAAAAGAGCCCAAAGGAACTAATATTCAAAGATCATATTGCAAGGATGTGGATGGTCTAGACAGTAGTCAAAATCAAGATCTTCAAAGCTAATCTGAAAGAATACGAAGATTGGGGCTTGAGGAGGGTTCTGTTTTCTAAATGGAGCTAACATAATATGGTGAAGCTGGCAATTTAGTGCAACCTGCCAGAGTCAGTCTTTCCTTCTTCTGTCCCTCTTTTACCTTTTCTCCCCTTTCCCATTTTCTCTATTTCTTTTTTTGGAAGCTACTGAAGTTTTAAGAACATGATCAGAACTGCCTTTGGAAAGAATCATCTGGCAGTAGAAGTAGGACTTATTCAAGTGGGAGACCTGCGGCCTGTGTCAGGAGAGAGAGGAGATATTACTGCAGTGAGGCTTTTGGAACAAATGGCTTGGTCCCTCTGAGAGAGCTTGGTCTCCACTGCTTTGCTCAGCATGACTATTAGCCCTGTTAAAAATTTTGTACTACAGTTTCATAAATAAACGTATAAGTACAACACTTTTCAAAAAAATTGCAAGTGAGGCAGAATAGATGGACACATACAGAAGGAAGTCTTTAATAAATTGTGATGAATGTCAAATGGGGACATATGAGGTGTTGGGAATACAGAAAGGATGCAGACGTAGAGAAGAGCTGGCTGTGGGGAATACCATAGAACATGAACATAACTTGGTAATGAGAAGGATGGCAAGTAGAAAGGAATAGAATGTGATGCTGGAGTTTCAAACACTGCTGAGGTCTTGGAACAATGTTGGTGTCACTTATTAGAAGAAAATATATATATATATATATAAATTTAGAGCTTGTTTGGGAAAGAACAACTAAGAACTACTTAGGTCCCCATTAAAAAAGTGCTGGAAGACTTACCTAGCAAAGAATCAGAAAAGTGGCCAAATATGGTAGTAGAGAGACCTTGGTAAGAAATAACATATTAGAGGACATTACATGGGGCATATGAAATATTTGAAGCTCTGGAAGTTACTGCATTTGAAGGAGAATGTGAGAAGCAAAGGATATGAACACTAAAACTTGGAAAAATTGTTACATTTGGAGGAATTTCAAAAGTACCCCTTTGTAGAACATGGAGAATGATTAGAAAGTAAGTTTGAAAATTTGGTAAGAAATAGAATCTAAGGGTAGTGCTCAGAAAAAAGAAAGATGTGTGATCAGTGATTCCAAGTCCTGTAGAAAGTTTACAAGAAATAGACTGAAAAAGAGGATCCTAGATTTGGTGATCAGTATAGAATGCTGGGGGCGGAGACTATCTCATGATAGTCTTGAGTTGGGCTACTAACACAAAGGCTGTGCTGCTCAGGTGGTTCGAATCCACTTGGGGCTCTTTGCAGAAAGATGAAGTCTCCTTCTGTGTAATTCACAGCCTCAGGAACCTTAGGCGTTGGAGCTGAAGGAATGGCAGTGAGTGAGAGAGAGCCAGGAGTAAGTGCAGAAGTGTAGACAGACACCTGGCATATTCTTAAGAGAGAAGAAGATAAAAGGCTTATTAATAATTAAGCAAGTTTATTAATAGCAAGGTATATTGAGACCATGTTAAGGAAATATTTTAGAGAAATAGCCGACCAATTTATGTCAAAGCAAATAGTTTCTACAGAAACTTTGCCCTTCTAGGATGGTACAGGAGGGAAAAGAGAGACATTTGTCTCTTTGCAGGCTTAACCTTCTGTGTCTGTGTCTCCTTCGACACCCTTCTGGTGGCACATCTATTACTAAAGCAGTTAGGAAGCAGAGCCAAGGTTAGAAAAGCAATTTTCCCCTAAAAGATTCTCAGGCACTGTATGTGATCTGATGTAATAGGATAGAGGACAGCTCTGTCTTTCTTTACAGCAGAACATCCTAGATCTGGAGTGATGGATTAAAATGTAGCTCTAGCGTTGTGAGTCCAGCATAATCAATAATGCCTCTGGATCTATCCCTTGAGGTTTTGAAAGGATCGAGAAATACATCACTTCAGATAAAGCAGGTAAAGGTTTCCAACAAGAAGCAGATAGCAGCTGAGAGCTGCTAGAAATGACACCAGATAAGAAAGGTAACAGATATGGATGATAATCCTGGAAATCAGTTTCAAAAGAAATGGTAAAAAAGTAGTTCCACTGCCAACTGAAGGAAGAAACAAAATGAAAATACCAAATAAGGAGGCAGACATGTCAATGATTTGCGAATGGACCTAGCATGGTGCAGCCATGTGGAGCGCTTGCAGAGT